TCAGAATCATAGTCACTTGGGAGGTCACTCCAGGAAGCCCTGGTCATGATGAGGAGAGAAGGTGCCCTGCTGGGGAAACCAGTGAGCAGGTCCCCTGAGGTGGGGTTCCCAGGGAGCCCCCAGGAAGACCGTGTAGTGCATGAGCCTCAGAGGTGCCCTATTGGAGGAACAAGAAGCTGGGGCATTTATAATCAACTCTCCTTTTGTGTGTGGTCCAGGGCTGCTCCTAGGAGAGCCGTGTGGGTCAGCAGCGTGTCCTTCTGCAGCCAGAGCAGCAAAATGCCATCTGGCAAGTAGAACACGCTTGCTGACCACAGTTGCCTCAATGCCACATTTTGTTTTCCCATCCCTCTCCCAAAGGTATTCAGTGGCTTCTCAAATTTTACTATAACCAACAAGGCCAGGTAACCTCAAGTAAGGTCTTTCCATATCATTAAAAATCCAGGTTTATCTTCCGAATTTGATTTTTTGTGTGTCCATGGACCATGATTTACTCCTCCGTGGGACACTCAGCTGGTGTGTTAGTCACTCACGTCCCCAGTGCCAGGCTCGTGCTCACACTCATGTCTCCTTCCCAGCACTTCACAGCCATACTGCACGGTGGTAGTTACTGTCCTTGTTTTAAGAGGAGGAAGCTGGCTGAAGCACAGGGAGGTTAGGCTACTGGCTGAAGGTCACACAACAATGCAGTGGCCAAGCAGACCTCAGCCACGTTTGCTGAACGAATACATAGAAGTCTGCTGTCACCCACATTCCAGGTTTGCCCCTAGTCGGCCTCGCCGCCCCAGCCCTGCCCTTGGTCATCACACCTGTCTTCTGTCCTGACCTGCTGGCTCCAGAGCCCCTCAGATTCCTGAAGATCCCCAGGCACCCCAAATAGGCTCCCCTGCTGCTGATTTGTCAGGCTGCCCCACCCCTTTCCTTAGGGAAGGCTGGGCTCTAAGGGAGGGGTGGGGTTTCAAAGGTGGTCAGGAGAGAATGGAGATGGCAGGAAGCCAAGAAGAAGGCTGAGCCAGAGAGTCTAGGGTCTCCTGGGGGCACGGCCCAGGCTGAGGCCTCACCCAGTGTGGGGTGGGTACAGGATGGTCAGAAGGTGTTGGGCGAACATAGCTTAATTGAGGGAAGTCCCTGTGTATTACTCTTTGAGAGTCTCTGACGGTCTCCAGAGCTCTTTGTGCTGATGGGCTGGCCCTGGCTGGGACTCAGGCCCAAGACCTGCTCAGTGTGTCAGGAGAGCAGGAGAGGGAGTGTGAAAATATGCCCTCTAGAAGATTCCAGCTCCCCTCAGCCAGGGTGAGGGACAGCGGAGCCCCAAGCTCCCCCTTCCACAGGCCTAGGCATGGCCCATGGGACTGTAGCAAGAGACCCAGACCCTAGCATCAAACCCCTGATATGCTCCAGACCTCAGGACCCACCAAATGCCAGGGATTTCCAGACTCCCAAGCCCCAGGAGCTAATCCTCCCAAACTTCAGGACCCTAGTTGTACCAGAACCCAAGCCCCCAGGTCCCCCAGACTCACTGTCTTAGGCCCCATGCCTGCCTCTCCCCCTCCCTCTTCCCCCTCCCTCCCCTCCCCCTCCCGCACAGCTGGAGTGTCTGGTGCTTCCTCATTTCCACATTTCCTCTTATTCTAAGAAGCCTCAGTGCTGGACACTGCTAACTTCTCCCAGGGTGTGGGGTGTGGGAGATGGCCAACCTGCATCCAGGCCAGCTGGAACCCCTCTTGTCCCTCTTGCCCTGAAAGCCCGAGTATCTTGTGTGTGCTTGCTGGCTAATTTTAATGTTTTGTTTTTTAGAGAGAAGGGAAGTGAGGGACAAAGAGGGAGAGAAACATCACTGTGTGGTTGCCTCTTGCGCGCCCCCTACTGGGGACGTGGCCTGCAACCCAGACATGTGCCCTGACTGGGAATCAAACAGGAGACCCTTTGTGTTTCGCAGGCTGGTGCTCAGTCCACTGAGTCACACCAGCCAGGGCTAAGGTTTTTATTCTGACAACAATTTGCAATCAAGTAAAATGATAGGGTCCTAAAATTAAAAATATTAAAACGTACATGGTGAGATTCTCCCTCCTACCCACCTGCCACTGAGAAATAACTATAGGTATTTGTTTTTCGTGTCCCATCCAAAATTTCTATAGGTAAATGAAATCTAGAAAATTATTGTTATTTGTTTTTTTAAAGATTTTATTTATTTATGTTTTAAAAAAGGGGAACAGAAGGAGAAAGAGAGGGAGAGAAACATCAATGTGTGGTTGCCACTCACACGCCCACTACTTGGGGCTTGGCCTGAAACCCAGGCATGTGCCCTGACTGGGAATCGAATCAGTGACCCTTTGGTTCACAGGCCCACACTCAATCCACTGAACCACACCAGCCAGGGCTTATTATTTGCTTTTTTTAAGTTAGTGTTTTCTCTCAGAGATATCTGCTCTTACTCAGGCCAACTTCTACCCCAGGGCCTTTGCACAGGCTGTTCCATGCCTTAGCTGCCCTTCCCCCACCTCCTTACTCAATAAGCTTCTTTATCCTCCTCAATAAGGACTCCTTTGATCATCTCATTGAAAAGTCCCCATCCTGGCTAATGGATTCTCATTCTTATTTTTCTCTTCATCACCCACCCCCCAACCATTGCATATTTTTCTGATGGATGCTGTCTGTCCCCTGTCTCTGTGACTGCTCCAACAACCCCACAGGGACAGGCATTTTATCTGTTTTGTTCTTGGCTATATCCACCACTCCTAGACCAGTGCCCCGCACACAATAGGAACTTTTTAAAAAATATTTATTTATTTTTAGAGAGAGGGGAAAGGAAGGAGGAAGAGGGAGAGAAATATCAATGTGTGGTTGTCTCCTACGTGCCCCCTACTGGGGGCCCAACTTGGCATTGTCGCAACCCCGGCATGTGCCCTGGCTGGGAATTGAACTGGCGACCCTTTGGTTCACAGGCTGGTGCTCAATCCACTGAGCCACACCAGCCAGGGCACACAATAGGAACTTAATAAGGGTTTGTGGAGGAAATAAATGAGCCTCTCCATATTTGTTCATAAAGGTCTATACTTTTGTTTTCATGGTTCTGTGGCACCGCCCCTCCCCCTGCCCTGCCAAGGTAGATGAACTGTTTTTAACCTGACCAGCCCCTTAGGTTATTAATAATTTTTTTCATATAACAAACATTGCCACAATGAATCATCTAATTGTCATGTCATCTTTCTGATTTATCTTCTTTATTGTGCAAAAGACACTTACTTAATATAAAATTTACTGTGTTAGCCATTTTAAAGTGAACAGTTCAGTGGCATTCAGTCCACTCTCCTTGGCTGCCAGGTTACATCGATGTCACACAAACCGTTCTCATTATATTAGTGTTGGCTGGACTTTTCCTGGACAGACCTTGTGTGGCTGAATAATATCCCATGCTGTGGATGGTCCACACCATGTTCATCTTTCATCAGTTCACACCCCTATCATTCTGCAAACAAGGAGATATTCGCGGGAGCCACAGAGTGGAATTGCTGGGTAAGTGGACACATGTGGTCATGATTCTGGTGGCCTGTGCCAGGGTGCCCTCCGTGGGGCAGCACTGTGGATGCTCCCCCACATGCTTGGGGTTGCCTGTTTTCCCACAGCACAGCCAGCACCAGTGTTTTCACACTGTTAGACTCTTGTCAAACTGATGAGTGAAAACAAACAGGATCTGAGTCGTTGCGATATGCATTTTCTTACTAGGAGTATCTTTGGTTGTGTCGAAGAGCAGTTTGCAACCCTTTCTGCGAAGTCTCAGCTCAACACCTGAGTCTGAGGACCAGTAAAGCAGAGGGAGTGAACTGCAGCCTCCCAGAGTCCAGAAGCCTCTAAGCACTTATCCCATTTTACAGGTGTGGAAACTGAGGCACAGAGCAGCTAAGGCCACACAGTGAGTCAGGGGCTAGAATGGAATTGAACTGTGTCTGCCTGATGTCAGGACTCCAGTGTGGCTGAAACACTCCTAGCCCACCCCTGCCACTCCCTCCAAAGTCGCACTTTTGTCACTACCCCTCAGGTCTGACTCAGATCCTCCTCCCCCTCTGGGATCCAGCCTCCTCCCCAGGCTCCACCTCCAGGCCCCAGGCTCACTCCAGATGTGTGTCTTGATCCAGTGCCTACACATTGCCCCCGCTTACACATCAGCTTTGCTTCCCAAGGACCTGAGAAAAAGCCCCATCCTCAGTCTGTTTCCAGACCTGTGCCGTCCCCAACTTCCCACACGTATACCACCAGTTTCTTCTCTTAGCATCCCCACTCCAGCCTCTCCATTTCTAACCTCCAGGCCCAGGGCTCATGCTTTGAGCCCAGGGCCCAGGGCCTTTGCTCCTGCTGTGCCTTCTGCCTGGAACCTGAAAGTGCATTTGTTTCTGCCTGCCACTGCTGCCACGAGACTCATCGTCCAAGTCTCAGACTCAATGTCCTCTCCCCCAGGAGACCCTCTCACACCCTCCCACCCAGCATGGAGGAGTCTTTGTACATGGGTAAGAGCCCTGAGCCTGTGGAAGAGGCTAGAAGCTTGGAGAGTCAAAGGCAGGTTTTAAAAATCCTCAGCAAACTTCTATGCATGTGTTAAAGCCCTAGTTTTAATGTCTCCTCCTCCAAGAAGCTTCCAGGACTCTGTCCTTCCCTCTAGCCCTGCCCTGCCTCCATGGGACTAGGTTGTCTGTGTCCGGCTCTGTCCTCTCTCAAGACTGGGTCTTCTTCAGAAATCTGGATGGGCCTGAGACCTCTTGATGTTTGCTGAATGGATAAATGAAGACAAGAGTTGGGAGTCAGCTGAGCTAAGACCAGGAAGTGAGTTGATGAGGTAGCAGTCAGTTGAGGTGTTAGTGGGGGATGACCGTGTTATAGCAAGAGGAAAGCAGGCCACCCCTCCCCCTCCCATGAGAATCCGGAGCCTGGAGGCCTTGCAGAAGGGCGGGTCTTTGTGTTTCTTCATTCTTGCCCTCTGTACTCCACCCGGAGACCAGTTCCTCTTCTCCTGTGTTGCTGGGTGCAGAGTCTGAGGAGCACCAGGGGCCACAGAGTATCTGAGAGGGTGCCGGCCACTTAAACCCCAGTCCAGGTGAGCCACCACGAAGTTTTTCTGAGTGGGAGTTTTCCAGCACTGCCCAGGTAAACTCATAACGGCGGGCCTGCAAAGGTAAGACAGAGGCTAGAATTGGGGTCTGTGCAGGGGCTGCAAGTCAGAGGTCGGCAGCCCCCACTCCAGGCAGCCCAGTCTGGGACTCCCAGCTATCCAGCTATCGCAGTAGTTTGGGGGCAGGGCTATTTGCAGGGCAACCACTTATTTGCATGTGGTCCCATCTTGGGCAATGAAGCTGCCAGAAATATTGGGGGGTTGGGCCAAGCTCAAGGAACTCATCTGGGAGAAGGGGAAGGGGATGCACGGTCTAGGTCTCCTCCTCACCCTCTAAGATGGGCTCTGGGGTTATGTACCCATTTCTCAGAGAAGAGACTGAGGCTAGAAGCCAGAGTGAAGCAGTGAGGGGCTGACAAGTGAGGGCTTGCCTATTACCAGAAGCAGCCTGAGATGTTTTCAGATATTGAAAAAAAACAAACTAACTAATAATAAACCCAGGTGGTGAGGGAGAGGATGACCACAGGCAGAGGTCAGAGCTTAGATTCCGGTGTCTTTGCTTAGGTTGCTTGAATGGGGGGCGCCCTGGCGTGGGCACCGTGGTTGCTGCTGCTACTGCAGGATCCGTGTAGCCTGGGATTGTCCTGCAACGTGTCATTGGACGTGGGCTGGAGCAGGGAGTTCAAAGCCCCATGCCTGAACTTCAGCGGTCAACACCTGAGCCTGCCCCCGAACAAGTCTCTGCAGGCCATCGGAGTTCGCCTCCTCGACCTGTCTGCTAATGAACTTCGAGAGCTCCCACAGCCCTTCTTCAACACCCTTCATAACCTGCAGATCCTGAATGTGACATACAACCCCCTGGAACATGTGCCTGCGATGCTGGCAGAGCTCTGCAGCCTTGACCTGAAAGCCAACTGCCTCTGCGCCCTAGCCCCCTGGCATAAGGTCCGGCAGGACAAGAACTGCTCTGACCCACCACTTTTGCAGTGCCTGGATGAACGAGCTGGCACCTGGCACAACCTCTCCACCTTCCTGGAGAGCGGCTGCCCACCTGGCCTGTCCTCTATGACCATTGGGGTGCTGGCGGCCAGTGGAAGCCTACTCCTCGGGCTCTTCATAGCTGGCTCATTGCTGGCCTGGAGATTCCGGGCACGCTGGGCACCCAGTAGCCAGGGCCTGGGCAAAACATGGGCTGCTGCAGATGGTCCTAGGTCCGGTTCTGGCCGGCAGCCGAGGTATAGTAGCCGGAACCACAGCCCTAAGCAACCAGCGGACACCCTGCCCAGGCCCCCCACGCCTGACTATGAGAATGTGTTTGCGGGCCAGCCACCTGCCGAGCACCAGTGGACCAAACACGGGTGAGTGACCTACACACATCTGCCTGCAAGACTCAAGCCAGGTGGCTAGTATTCAGATCTCAGCTGTGCCTCTTGAAGGCTTCTTTGTGATCTTGAGCAAGTAATTTTTTCCTCTCTGGGCCTCAGTTTCCTCACCTATAAAATGGGGATAATAGCAGTCTTCACCTCATGGAGTTAGGGTAAGAATGAAGTGAGCTCCTGTAGATGGGACAAGGTCCCACTTCATGACCCACAAACCCAGTTTCTAGCGGCCAAGGACAGGGAGAGAGGAGGCAAGCACTCTAGGCGGAGTCGGACCACTGTGGTAGCAGTCAGCAGCCTGGGAGCCGATCTCTTGTGACCCAGAGCTGTATCTTTGTGTAATGGGGACAGCCCTCCCCCCATCTCCCTTAGACACACGGGAGATGCTAGGAAAGCCATCTGTATCCCTCTCCCCTACAAAGTCCCAACACCTCTAGATCAGGCTGAGGTTGGATAGATACGTTCAACTTTTCCAGGATGGACAAGGAGTGGTGGGGCGGGGGTGGGGGGGTTGGGCATCAGCAGAAACAAATGTCAGAAAGTGGGAAAGAACAGAGAATCTGCTGTTAATGGATTTGGAAATGGCAAAACATCAGAGCTGAGGCTGAAGGTGTTGGGAGGATCCAAGTGAGAAGGGAAAAGGGTTCAGGCTGGGTTTGAGCAGTGAGATCCCCATGTGGGGAGACTAGTGGCAGTCTATTGATGAGAAGTGAGAGACTATGCAAAGCAGATGAAAATATGGCTTAAAAGCAGAAGTGGACTGCGGTAGGGATTCGAAGGAACGACACTTGCTAAGGCAGCTTGTGTTCTGCTGCTTGCCTATGCCTCACTCTCAACAAGGGCTCAGGGCCAGTCTCTTCCAAAAACATTTAGGATTGAATGTGCCATTCATCTTTTACATTTTACAATTTCAGAATGTCATGGTCTGGGAGGGAGGGGAATGATTTGCCCAAGGTCACACAGTGAGTCAAAAGCAGAGGTAGGAAACAAACCCTGACTCCCAGTCCTGTCCATCACCATACAACCATATATGTGTTTGGAGTAATTCATACTATAGTGTGAGTGGTAGATAGACACCATTTACCCAAACTGGCCTTTGTTACAAGAGGACCCAGGGTGGGATTAGGATGTTCTAGATGCAGGAAAGTTCTTCTAAGAGTCTTGCCTACCATAGCTAGACATTGCTAAGAAGCAATCTCCTCCCTGACTAGTTTTATGGACACAGAAACTGAGCCTCAGAGACTTATTTTTATATTGCAGTCACAAAGTCCACTGCTTCAGGGACTGTAGAAACATTTTCCATCTAAAGGGGCAGACACTGGCTCCAGCCACTTGTGTTCATGTGGCTGGTGTGACCAGAGCTTCTGATTTTTTGAGAGGAAACTGAAGTCTAGATTTTAATGTAAAAAATGGGCAACCATCTCAACTTTAAGGGGGGGGTTGGAATCTTAAAATGGCTTAAAGTCCTTGGACCACAGCATTATAGTGCTGGACCAACAGTCTTTCCAGACTTGCTGACCCTGACCTCCATTCCTCAGAGAAAGTTGCAGCTGGGAGAACAGTGCCTTGTGCTTCCGTTTCCTTGTATGTAAATATTAGGAGTGGACTTGGCCACTCTGAACTCTCTTTGCTTCCCATAGCTGATGTGCCTACCCCGAGTTCTCCTTCCCACCCTTCTGTCTGTCCCACAGGGCTCACCCTTCAGAGGACAACGACCTCTACATGAACTACGAAAGCCTCCCCCAGGCTCCCCAGAGCCCCTGCCAGGCCTCCCAGCCCATCTACGGCAACCTGCAGTTCCTGGGCCATACCCCACCGGTTGATGAGGAGTACGTGACCCCTGGGCACTGAGCCTGCAATGGCCTGAACTCTGGCCTGCCCTCTTCCAGGGCCATTCTGGATCTCTCCTGGCCTCAGTCTCCCAGTCTGAGGAATGGGGACAGGGAGGAACTGTCTTGGAGGTTCCTCCTCAGCCCCCGCTCTGCTCTTCAGCACCTTTGGCTGCTAGAAAGGAAAGAGGAGAGACCCCAACACAGACACAGGAGGTTCAGAGTTTAAACTATTGTCACCTCCCTCTCGATGTGCAGGTGGTGTTCAATAAACTCTGTGGGGCAGATGAGGCTGCCGGCTCGGGAGTAAAGGGTCCTTCCGGTGGGGACTTCCTGAGCTCTCAGAACCAGATCTCTGAGACTTCTGAATTTCTCTCCGGTCCCTTCCCTCTGTCCTTCTCAGGCCCCCTTCCCAGGTGCCTGGCATCCAGACTTAGCCCCCCAGGTGTCCCATGCCAACCTCAGATGGATTTTTGTTTTTTATGAATCGGGACTGTGCCCCTCCACTGCTCACACATCCTCCATGGCTCCCCATTGTCTCTGGATCTTCAGCTTGGTACTTGAGGACTGCAGGATCCAAGCCTGCCCACCTCACCGCCCTCTCCCATACCTCTGCTTTTGTGGTCTGGGCCTGTCCCCACCAGGCCCACCTCCCTCCTGAAGCCATTTTTTTACCCAGAATGTCACCCCCCTTCTTTCTTTTTTGAAGATTTTTTTGTAGTTATTTCAATTCAGCCATCTTTGTGACCACTTAGAGTTCTTTTAAAAAATATTTTATTGATTATGCTATTACTATGCTATGCTAGTTGTCCCATTTCCCCTGCTTTGACCCCCTCTGCCCAGGACCCCCCTTACCTCCAGCAAACCCCCTCCTTAGTTCATGTCCATGGGTCATGCATATAAGTTCTTTGGCTACTCCATTTCCTATGCTATTCGTAACTTCCCCCTATTTTGTTCCCTCCAGATACACTTCTTAATCCCTGGACCATTTCCCCATTCTTCCACTTCCTCCTCCCCACTGATAAACCTCCAGATGATCTCCATATCTATGATTCTGTTCCTGTTCTAGTTGTTTGCTTAGTTAGTTAGTTTGTTTGTTTAGATTCAATTGTTGATAGTTGAGTTTGTTGCCTTGTTAATGTTCATGGTTTTGATCTTTTTCTTAGTCCTTTTAACATTTCCTGTAATAATGGCTGCGGGGGAACGGGGGTGTGATGAACTCCTTTAGCTTTACCTTGTCTGGGAAGCACTTTATCTTTCTTTCCATTCTAAATGATAGCTTTGTGGGATAGAGAAATCTAAGTTGTAGGTCCTTGTTTTTCATAGCTTTGAATACTTCCTGCCAGTCCCTTCTTACCTGCAAAGTTTCTTTTGAGAAATCCACTGATAGTCTTATGGGAACTCCTTTGGAGGTAACTCTGCTTTTCAGATTCTCTCTTTATCTTTAACCTTTGGCATTTTAATTACGATGTGTCTTGGTGTGTTCCTCTTTGGGTCCGACTTGTTTGGGACTCTCTCTGTTTCCTGGACTTGTATGTCTATTTCCTTCACCAAATTAGGGATGTTTTCTTTCATTACTTTTCCAAATAAGTTGTCAGTTTCTTGCTCTTCCTCTTCTCCTTCCAGCATCCCTGTGATTCGGATGTTGGCACGTTTGGAGATGTCTCAAAGGTTCCTAAGCCTATATTCATTTTTCTGAATTCTCATTCCTTTTTTGTTCTGGTCGAATGTTTATCTCTTCCTTATGTTCCACATTGTTGTTTTGAATCCCAGCTTCTTTCCCTTCTCTGTTGGTTTCCTATGGATTGTTCTTTATTTCACGTAGTGTAACCTTCATTTCTTCCTTTATTTTTTTGCCATAATCAAGGAGTTCTCTGAGCATCCTGATCACCAGTGTTTTGAACTCTGCATCTGATAGGCTGGCTATCTCCATTTTGCTTAGTTCCTTTTCTGGGGTTTTGTTCTGTTCTTTCGTTTGGGCCATATTTCTTTGTCTCCTCAATTTAGCAATTTAGTCTCCCTGTGTTTGTTTCTGTGTATTAGATAGAGCTGTTTTTACTCTGTCTTAGTAGTGTGGCCTATGTAGAAAAAGCACCTGTAAATTGTGTGTGGCAGAGTCTTAGGTAATTGCCAGGGCAGGACACCTGCTTTACTGCGTTGGGACTGTGTGGGGAGGGCTCGGAGAGGGGACAATGCCACAGCCTAGATTCTGCTGGTCCCCCATCACTTCACTCCCTTCCGGTGTGCGACTGGTACCCTTCCAGCTGGTGCTCCCGTGGTGAATCCCGGAGTGGATAGGTTTGTGTACATTCTTAGACTGTATGGACCCTTTAAGCAGCGAAAATCCATCAATTTCTTCCGACGTCCCAACTCCCACTGGTTTTTACAGCCAGAGGTAATGAGGATCTATATTCCCCATGCTGGAACCCTGGGCTATGCAGGCTGGCCTGGGGCTGGGATTGCTTGTTCCTAAGGTATCCCTCCTGTCTGTGTCCACCCCCCACCACCAATGCCACAGCCTTTCCACAGCACACCACTGCTGCTACCATCTGGATGAATATGTCAAGATTTTATTTATTATTAGAGACAGAGGAAGAGAGATAGAAACATCGGTGTGAAGGAGAAACATCAATCTGTTTCCTCTTGTCCAACCCCAGCTGGGGACCTGGCCCATAACCCAGGCATGTACTCTAACTAGAAATCAAATCTTCAGCCTTTTGGTTTGCAGGCCAGCGCTCAATCCACTGAGCCCCTTCTCTTTTTCTTACTCATAAACATCCTAATAAAGATGCAGAACATGGCTGGGGCATTGGGAGGCATGGTCTCAGTCCCCCGATTTGTAAAATGTGGTCATAGAATTCGTCTCTAGGTCTGTTTTAGGTCTCATATACCAATCTATATTTTTTTAAGTTATTTATTTATTTATTTATTTTTAGAGAGAGGGAAAGGAGAGAGTGGGAGAGAAAGATCAATGTGTGGTTGCCTCTTGTGTTTCCCCCACTGGGGACCTGGCCTGCAACCCAGGCATGTGACCTGATTGGGAATCGAACCTGCGACCCTTTGGTTTGCAGGCCCACACTCAAACCACTGAGCTACACCAGCCAGGGCCCAATATATTTTAAGTCTTCCAGAAACAGGAATAATGAGAGATGAGGAGATGGACACCCTTAGAGAGACAGGGGCTGCGCAAGCATTGAGACAGAAAAATGTCTGTCCCAGGCTGCTCTTGAAGCCATTACTACGCACACCCAATTGCCTGTCATCTCCAAGAACACCCTGCTGCCCATTCCTTGAACCCTGTCATTCACCCCTATACCAGGTCTCCTGTGGGAAGTGGGGCCAGCCAGGGGTGGGCTCTTCCCAAGGTCCCCAGCTCTATCTGGGCATCACAGGAGCCAGGTCAGATAGCTTCATTTTTATTAACCAGAGTTTAAATAACTGCACACTTTGCCGGCCCAGTCCTCCCCAAGCCCTTTGGTCCCCAGGTCGGTAACCCCAATAAATTAGTAATAAATACCAACTTATAAATACAGCAGTGTAGGCGGGAGGCCGCAGACGGCAGTGGTTATGATGGGGTACTTCAGGTCCCACTAGCCTATTCCATTCAACAGGCAAGGGCAGAGGTCACCCCCATTGCACACGTGCCACAAGTGAAGGCCTAGGTTAGCTCATAAGCAGTGGCAGTCGTTGGCCACGAGGTCCTCATAGGGCGTGAGGGACACACGGCCCTCGCTATCCCGGTGCAAGAGTACCACCGGCTCGTAGCTGGAGGGAACGCAGCATGGTGCAGGAGCAAGCCCAGGCTTCAAGCGGTGCAGACGCGCCACCAGTTGGGCATGCCTGTTAGCCAATCGGAACTGGCTTGGGCACGCACCGCTGCACACGCGCACGTCCAGCTCCCGCGGCGCAATCACCCAGTCGGACCAGCCCAAGTCTTCGAGCGATACGCGCAAGCTCTGTAGGCGGCAGCATCGCCCCTCCCCAAGCGGACAGCTGTCCCGGGCGCGCGCGGGCGCGCTGCGGCGTCCCCTGCGGGCGCTTGGCCTCCAGTGCAGCTCCAGCCGAAGCTGTGCAGAAGGTGGTGCAGCCAGCCACCGAGCGGAAGGCGGCAGCAGGTGCAGGCCCAGTGCAGACGCCCCGGAGACTCCGACGCTGCCAATGTGACGCTGCAGCAGTCGCGTCACATCCCAGGATCTCGACTCTGGCAGGGACAGTCTGAGCAGGGCCCGATGCAGGCGGGAGGCTGCGGGGAGCCCCTTAGTCAGGTTGACCGGAGGGATGCGCAGGTGCAGGTGACCACCTGGTCCAAGTGTTACTGTGGGAGAGAGAGGGGAAGGCCAGTCACCCACAAGCCTACTGTGTGCCGGGAATGAATGTGCCCATTTCCTCCCACGAGCCAGATTGGATCCCACCTCAGGGCCATTGTGTAAATTGCTTCCTTCACTCTTCACTCTTTCAGCCACACTTTCCCTGAATTCTTCCAGCCTGCCTAAAATAGGCGCCACCGTGTTCTATTTGGTTGTACTGTATCATTTCATCGCCCCTACTAGAATCTCAGTAGGGATTTCCCTCTGCCTGATCACCGTGGTACCTGGCACACAATAGGTGCTTAGTAAATATTTGGCGGAATTAATAAACATCCAATATTTAGAGAGCCTGAGATTCAAATGCTGATTCTGCCTTCTCCTGGCAGTCAAAACCTTTTTCACTGAAGGCCTATTAAGTGCCTGGTACTGGGGATTCAGCGACCAGCCACTGTGGTTTTAACTCCTTGGGTCTTGGTTTCCTATCTGAGAAGTGAAGGGTACCAGGCTTCCCAGGACCCGCAGACCCCCGGGCTGGGACAGGTGTGGGGGACACTATGGGGATTGAGGTTTGAGTTGCTGCACGAGCACCACGGGCTCCCTGGGCTCGGAATGGGTGAGAGGTTCACCTGAAGTCTCACAGCCCTGGGGGTTAGGGCCAGATAGGGGCACTTCCTCTTCACCCCAGCCCCTCCAAGTTCCCAGCGCAGCCCAGATCTTCTTCCACCCTCTTCACCTGCAGGAGCCTCCATGGGGGACGTGAAAATATTCCCTCCGTGTTTCTAGGCACCTACCACGTGCGACTTCAGCAGTGCCTTGCATCGAGACTGCATCAGTCTCAAAACCAGCTCCGGTTGGTTCTGCGAGACGTTGCACACTGCTAAGTCCCACCGATTCCCCCTCCGCCCCCCACCCTGCCCCTGTATCTTTCCTCTGGATCCCACCCACCCTCAAACCCTGTTACATCCAAGACAGGGACCGCTTGCCCAGGTCCCACCTCATTTTAGAGCTCTCCAGGCTCTGTGAGCCTTCAGGAGAGTCTCTGGCTGCTCTTGGCCTCAGTTTCCCCATTTGCTATCCGAGGAAATGTAACTCTCCTTTTTCATGTTGGTTAAGCCTTGCCTTGTCTCGATGCAACAGGGTCCCTAGCTCCCTCATCAGCCCCAAGTGGGGGCCATTCTTGTCTGGCTCACAGATGAGGAAACTGAGACTCGGCGTCAGGCTCTATGACTCAGAACCACTGGTTAGATGATAGAAGCTGCTGGGGTGGGGGCTGGGAATGTGTATTTGAGATTTCACTCACGCTTTGGGGTGAGTATCTGGACTTGAGTGGCAGGGCTGAGGTCAGGGTTCGAGTCTTCCCAAGTTTGGTTCCCTCGAAGCCTAGTCAGAAAATCTTCATATCCTTTCCGCAGCTCCCGCAATCTGGAGGCATTTGGACTGGAGTGCACTTCTGAGGGTCCCGGGAAGGCTGGGAGGTGCTCCTGGGCCAGAGATAGGGCTCCTCCCGACGGCAGCCACGAGAGCGTCAGCAGCATCAGCAGCATTGCAGGATAGCACGGTGTCGTGGGTCGCTGCCCTGGCATGGCTATGCTCCTGCTGCTCTGAACTGGGACTGAGTGGATGCTGCTGGCCGGGCCTTTATATTCCCCGGACTTTGTCCGCCCCCGCCTGCCTGGTCCAGCCCACCCCGGGTGCACAGTAAACACTCCAGGAATCACAGCTGGGCAGGGTCTACGGCTGCTCTCCAAGGAGAGATAGATACTTGGAGGATCATGCTGCCGAGGCAGCTGGGGAAACCCCCTCCCAGGAATGCCTCTGAGCCTCAGTAGTCTCAGGTGTGAAATGGGGACATCATCCCAGCTTGGTGCGCTGATGGGAAGAATGATTTACTCAAAAAGGACTTATTATTATGTGCTAAACTCCATAGCAAGAGCGTAAGATGTGGCCTCCCCCACCCTCCCCACGGTGTTGCCTCTCTCCCCTCTCTGGTTACGGCGGAAGGCTGAAGATGCTGAAAAACAAGTAGAGGAGAAAGGGCCAGAAAGAGCCCAGAAGTGTTGCCTGGGGCAAGTCATTCCACTCTGTCACACCTGTGTCTTCATCTGGAAAATAAGGACTGGGACTTTCACTGGAGAGAAAGTTACACGATGTACAAGGGGCATAGCCAAACATACAGGAGGCACTTCAGACATGGTGTTTTTTGCAGTTGCTCATCCCCATCTGGGAAATTCCTATTCATTCTTCAAGATGCTACTCAAAAAGCCCTTCCTCCACCTTCTTGGACATTACCTTTCTGGGCTCATCTGGGTGTCCCCATCCCCAACTTTTTCCTCCAGCCCAGTCCTGGCCCTCAGCACTGGCAGTGTCTGCGTTGGCTCTGTCTGCCCCAGACTAGGGGGCTCCTGGAAGGTTGGGGCAGGGATAAAGCCACTCTGGGCACCAGTTCCTTGGCTGGGTCCAGAGAGGAGGTGGCAAGGAATTGCAGTGCTGTGGTTTAGGGGAGGGAGGGCTGGTGCCAGACCCAGCCACCAGCTGGTGAAGGGGCAGAAGGTGCCCCAGGAACACCCTTCCCCCGGGTCACCTAGACCTTCTTCCACTGCTGAGGACTCCTGGGCCCGGGCACTGCTGGTCCACCCTCCCCAGGCTGTTGGGAGGGTGGCCCAGCTGTGTGAAGCAGATGGTGGAGGTGTGTGCAGTGTGACAGGAGTGTGCAGGCAAGAAGTACAGGGACCAGCCCTGGCTGGCGTAGCTCAGTGGATTGAGCGCGGGCTGGGAACCAAAGTGTCCCAGGTTCGATTCCCAGCCAGGGTACATTCCTGGGTTGCAGGCCATAACCCCCAGCAACCGCACATTGATGTTTCTCTCTCTCTCTCTATCTCCCTCCCTTCCCTCTCTAAAAAATAAATAAATAAAATATTAAAAAAAAAAAAGAAGTACAGGGACCAATGGGGGCCTCACAGCAAGGCTCCCACTGGAAGAAGAGTTCAGCCCTTTCTCCCAGCAGACACCCAATGGCTGTGCTAGGCCAATCACACTGAGGGCCCCCACTGAGTCTCAGCCTCAGCTCTGTGCTGTGGGATCATGTCAGGCAATGGGAAGGTCCTGCAGTCCCTGTAACACTCCAGGCAATCAGGAGGTGCTCAGGAAACACAAGTGCTCCTCCTACCAGCCCGACTGTAGCTGGTTGGGAGGCTGGGCCTCTTGCGCCACCAGCTTGGCACAAAGTTAGTGCTCAGTAAAGGGTGCAGGATGACTAGGCAAGGAGCTGGGAATCCCTCCGCAGCCACCCCGACACACAGTGGCAGAAGCCAGGCCCCAGAGGTGTGCTGAAGTGCTGAGTAATCCTCACATGGCAGGGCAAGGTCAACAAGGGCCACGGAAGCCATGCGGGCCTATGGGTGGGCAGGGCAAAGGGGCGCTGTCCGAGGTGTCGGCCTGCAGATCGATAATGGTGAGACTGCAACATTGACTGAATGCCAGGCTGCAGGTGCCACTCACGCACATTTCCACAAATGGACAAGGGAACCAAACCCCAGAGGCACAGGTAGGTGCATAGTTGTTGGGGGCAGCTCTGCGATGGGGACCTCGCACGTGACCACTTTCCCACTTGGCCCTCTGTTTCCCTGGCATTTCTCGGCCTGGGATGGGACTCTGAAGTTCCCTCTGTCTGTGGCTTTTCCCAAAGGTAAAAGCCTCCAAGAGTTTGCCCCAATCTGTTCCTAACAGCCTGGAGAGCTGTCAGCTCCAGAGAAGCCAGCCTGGGATCCCATTCCCGCCCTTGCTCTCCTGGCTATGACCTGTGGGAGACGGGGCTTCAGCGGGCAGAGCCTCAGCTTCCCCATCTGTAAGAGGTGGTGATGGGGATTTTGCACATGCTGAGGGTTGACATGATCATTATTCAAATTCCAGTGTTTCCCGCTTGCTATGTGACTGGGAGGGTTTGTGTTGGCTCTGTCTGCCCAGACTGGGGATTCCTGGAAGGTTGGGGCAGGGATGAAGCCACTCTGGGCCCCCCAGAGGGGAGGTGGCAAGGAACCAGAGAGCTGTGCTTTAGGGAAGGAAGGGCTTCACCAGCCACCCGAGAGTGGAGGAGCATGGTGTGCTCCAGGAACCCTTCCCCGGGGCACCCAGACAGCCTTCCACTGCTTGGGACTCCTGGCCCCGGGCACTGGAGAAGATGAGCGGATGGTGGGAGTGTGTGCAGTGTGATTGGTGTGTGCAGGTGAGAGGTACAAGGACCAATGGAGGCCTCACAGCAAGGCTCCCCCTGGAAGAACAGGGTCCAGCCCCCTCCCCTGGCACAAACCCACTGGCTGTGTGAGGCCAGCCCAGCCTCCAGCCCCACTGAGGCCCAGACTCAGCTCTGTGCGGTGGGATTATCGCCAGACAACGCGAGGGTCTTGAGGCAACCCTAACCCCTGCCCCCATGAAGCCCTGGGTACGCATGCAGCAGACGCTCACCCCACACCCTGACTGCATTTGGTCAGGAGGCTCAAACCAGCCTCTTCCTCCCATTCACACTTGCTCCTTCCCTAATGACATGAAAACAGAGGGGCAGGACAAGTGGAAGGGGCTGTGGGGGCGATCCGCCCACGAAACCCTGTGTCCATCCACGCAGGCTGCACAGGTCCTGTTTGTCTTCAGTCGGGACGCCTCAGTCCCCAAGCACACAGCTGGCAGGCTCTCTGAGGCCATCTCCACCTCCCTCCCCAATTCTCTCGGGACCGTCCAGGCCAGAGGCTCCACAGAAAATCAACAGGGAAATCAACACTCAAAAGTGAACAATTCCGTGGCATTCAGCACATTTGCAATATTATACAACCATCTTTTCCAGAACATTTCATCATCCCCAAAGGAGACCTTGTCTCCATCAGCAGTCACTCCCCATTCTTCCTCCCCCAGCCCCTGGCAACCCCTAATCTGCTTTCTGTCTATAGATTTGCCTGTTCTGGACATTTTACATTAAAATAATATGCACCAGATTTCCAATGTCCGGAGGGGGATTCCCCACACCAACAATTCTCCTGTATCAGCTGGGCGCCCTATAACTCAACCCGATTCTGACGTTGTCTACCTGGAAAACATGTCAGACCCCACAGGGTCAGGGCTCTCGGTCCCACAAGACTGTCCCCACCCACACCCCCCTTCAGATGCCAATTGCAAGTCCAGGTTGCCACCTGTGTTTCTCACCTGCTGCCTTATAAATTGCAGGTTACCGTGCCCCTACCTTGGGTTGAATTATTTTGCTAGAGCAGGTCAGAGAACTTTGGAAACTCACTTACTCACTAGATTACTGATTTGTCACAAAGAATATTAAAAGTGTGCCAAGTGCGCCACCCTCGCACCGCTGCGTGTTCACCGGGTTGGAGGCTCTCAGAGCCCTGTCCTTCTCGGTTTCTATGGAGGCTTCCTGCCCTGGGCCTGCTTAATCAAATCATCAGCTGCTGCTGCCTCTCCAGTGTCCTCCTCTCCCCTCCCCCAAGGTCAGGGGTGGGACTGAAACTTCTGACCTTCTAACACGTGGCTGGCTGCTCAGGTTATCAGCCCCCTCCTTAGGTAGTTTTCCCTGTTCCTTCCCTAGTGATGCGAAAGTCACCTCATTAACATAATGAAACACACCTTTCTCAGCCTCTTCACAGGAAATTCCAAGGATTTTAGGAGCTCAGTGCCAGCAAAGTGGGTAGAAGACCAAATATACCTTTCATATTATAAGTCGCAAGGTCACACATAAATGGAATCCCGCACTGTGTGGCTGTTCGCAAGGTTCGCCCGAGTCACGGCCCGTGTCAGCGCTTCAGTCCACATCACGGCTGAGTGGTGCTCCACTCTCTGAACACACCTTGCGCTGGCTGGCCATTCACCCACGGATGGCCATTTGTTTCCACCTTTTGGCATTTGTGGGTAGGGCTGCTATGAACATTCATAGACAAGGTTTGGGGACCTGCTTTTCGTTTTTGTGGGGATACACCCAGAAGTGGAATTGCTGGGTCATACCATCATTCTATGTTTAACTTTCTAAAGAGCCTCCAGAATGTCTCCCACAGCCTCTGCTTTTTTGTTTCTAAGCTTTGACTGAGATACAAATTTGATAAGGAAAAAGGACTAGTAGTGTTCAGTTCAATGACATTTTACAATGGTATGTCCATGGGACTGCTTCCTGGATGAGGTTCTAGAACATTCCCAGTCCAGGAGCACTCTGGGCTCTCTCCCATCACTTCCCCTGACCCTGGATACCAGCCATACCTACCTGTCACCATAGATGAGTTTGCCTGTTTCCCAACATGATATAACAAAAGCACCAATGCATTCTTTTCTGTCTGGCATCTTTCACTCAGCTCCATGTCCATGAGTGTTCTTTGTTTATCTGCTGCCATTTTCCTTGCTGTATACTATTCCACTGTGCACAATCAGGCGTGAAGCTGCTGACTCATGAGTGAGTGCCTGTCACTTTATTTATTTATTTATTTTAACTATTTTATTATTGTTCAATTACTTGTCACTTTATGACCAGGACCAATAATTAGTGTCAATGTAAGAAATGTTCAAACCTGTAGAGAACTTTATAAGTTTATTTGAGCCAAAGTGATGCAATTGCTAGGAAGGACAATCTCAAATACTTGAAAAAATGCTCTAGAGAATGGTATTTTTGCAGTTTCTTTTGTTTGAGGGGGGACCAAAACCCCCCCTGGAATTTATTTATTAAAAAATGTGTATTTATTCTTACCTGCTTAAACTTCAGTTACCTTCAAAGTACTTTCCATTTGATGCGATACACCTATTGAGACATTTTCCCCATTGCTCAAAACAGCTTTTGACTCATCGATTTTGATGCCTTTTAGTGCTTCTGCCACTTCTATTTCACATCATCCACATCGGCCAAACATTTCCCTTCGAGGACTGTTTTCATCCAGGGAAACAAAAAAGTGCCCTTTGGGGGCAAATTGGGTGAACAGAGATGGTGGGGCACAGGGGGTCATGCTGCTTTTGGTCAAAAACTGCTAACCACTCAGCACAGTGTGGGAGGGTGCACTCACAAATCACCCATTATGAAAAGAGCAAACCCCTTGAAAGAGTCTTCAAAAAAATTCACTGAAGCTGAACACAGCCTCTCACAACAACGCCAGCTGGTGCACTGATACAGATGCATTCCTAGAACACTCACCCAGAGGAATAACCTGTACCATAAGGGGCCTGCCCTCCAGAAGATAATTCCGTTTTTTGGGGGGGGCCCCACTATACATTAGAATCAAAGGAGGAGACATAATGGGGGGTCACAAGAAATCCATTGGTGGTAGATTAGGGAGATGGGAGAAACAAAGCAGGGAAATCTCTGGGGTTGGATAACGAGTAAATGATGGGGAAACAAATGGTTCTTTTACATTTGGTGGGTACTGGATAGTTGATAATTAACATTTACAGCACATAGAGGTTATGTGGGAGTAAGACAACGAGGGCCCTGACCAGTGTGGTTCAGTTGGTTGGAGTGTCTCCCACAGGTTGTGGGTTCAATTCTTGGTCAGGACACATACCTAAGATGCGGGTCCATCCCCAGTGCAAGTGATCCTTCTGTTTCGAATCGATGTTTTTTACTCCCTAAAGGCAGTGAAAAAATGTCTTTGGGTGAGGATTAAAAAAACCCCAGATAACAACAAGGGGCTCTGTGGTCTCCTGCTATGGTGGAGATTGTGCCCTGAGAGGTCCCGACGAAGGGGATCACTCTGACATCCCAAAGCTCTATTATCTTAGAAGCAAAAAGAC